AAGCGGAAAGCACACACCCTACAGCCTGTCGGATTTGATTAATATATACCCCTAATGTATCCATCAAGGAATCATAAAGTTAGCATTATAGGCCCCCTTCTAACTGAATGTACTATGACCCGACTGTTCTGTTTGTTTGTTCTTTTGTAAGAATGTATGTCTTCCCAAGTTTTATGACTATCTTTACTAGAAAATAGCTTGCATTACCATTTATGTGAGAATATCACTATATGAATGTAATGGGAAAATGAAAGTACACGGTAGTATTGTATAAAATAACTACTGAAGTACTAACTACCTTAAAACCAATAAGTTTAATTAAGGTTAAAATGTGATGTGGTTATAACCATGCTGATTGACTAGTATTTAACACGACGACCTGCTGGCGTCGAAACTAATGTGACATTTGTCACCCCTTGGCCTGCCGGCCAAACTGTAGCGAACAGTCAGGATGCGGGATTGTCAGTCCTGTCTAGATCTATACACACAATGCCCGCTCTCCCTCCAGGAGACTCTGGTTACAAAACGCGACATAACAAGTGTATTGCTATGCCGTGAAGTAGTGGTTTCACATTATTGTTATCTTGTTCTTGTTATAGTATGTTCCTCCATGTTCTAGTTATAGTATGTTCCTCCCTGTACTAGTTATAGTATGTTCCTCCATGTACTAGTTATAGTATGTTTCTCTCTGTACTAGTTATAGTATGTTCCTCCATGTACTAGTTATAATATGATCTGAACCCCTAAACTATACCTATTATAGTTTACTAGTATGTTTGTTTAAACTGCTACTGACTTGAAGAAAAGACTCAACTATCTATTGAGTTAAGCATGTACTTTAAGAATGAAGTTTTACAAACAACAAATTAATATCTTTAAAAAGAGTTTTTGAATCGTTCTGATCACTTACAAGAGCATAAGAAATCTTTTAATGTGATGGTTATCACAGGTAAATATTTACACAATATCATTGTGTTCAACTTGTATTCCCCCCCCCCCCCCCCCCTTAAAAGCATTTAAAACATTTAAAAGATTGATTATATGGGTATGAACTCACCTTATGTGGGTGATTCAATTGAAGATTCGAGTAAGGATGAGAAGTTCCACGAATGAAGTCTCGAGGCACAAATGAGTCCTAAATGACATATATTGATACATATATGTATATAATTAGTGTATATAACAACTAATATGTAAGGGAAACAACCTTAGGGACTAGGAAACACTTGCAATGAAGTGCTACAATCATATGTGATTGATTGAAGGGAGTTCACGACCACACAAGGAAGTGTTTACGGCCAAGAAGTGTTCACGGTCAAGGATTCTTGAAGTGTTTACGGCCCAAGCTTGGCCTCAAGAAGGGTTTACGGCCATAGATGAAGGGTTCACGACCATATCATGATCCTATGAAGGGTTTACGACCCTTATGAAGGGTTTACGGCCCTTATGAAGGGTTTACGGCCATACACCCTTGAAGATCTTGAAGATGATGATGATCAATGATGAACAATGATGAATCAAGGCTAGAACAAAGTGGTTTCTAAGTATGAACAAGAATAGGGATGAGATACTTATGTTTTGGTAGCTTTTGGGGTGTTCACGGTTGAAGTGAGAGAGAATGGGATGTTCACGGCTGGAGCTTGGAGAAATGAAGAGAAAATGAAGAAATCTCTTATTTAAGGAGGGTGGTTTACGGCCAGAAGAGTGTTCACGACCATGAACAGGGTTTACGGTCGTGAACCTCATGTGTTGGGTTTTCTAGTTCGGGTGCAACCTTCTGATCTCGAGCTAATACTTCAAAACACTCAATCCTTAAGTGTACTAGGCTTAGAACTCATCAGAATGACCCCTAACAAGGCTAAAAGGCAATAGAAATGAGTCTGACTTTTGGATGATTGGATTGACTTACAAGATAGAAATCTACGGGTTGTTACACCAGTTGATTAGAACAGTTACAAATTATATTAACTGATTAACTAGATTGATTAAACCCTGATTAGGTGATCAGGATAAAAAAAATCAAAATTAAACATTCATTAGGTGCAAAACTGAAATTACTAGACAGAATCACAAATCAAAAACCAAATCTAATGATTGATTACATGAAAAGTACTAATATGTGTAGAACTAAAATCTAGGGTTTAGCCAAACATGGCTAAAATCCGATCAAAACTAATAAAAAAGACATTAAACTATTAAACCTTACTAAACTAAATGAATGAGATGATCCACAACCTTCAGATCTTCATAAATTGATGAAAATGGAGAGAATTCGCCTAAAAAAATCGTCTGAAAATGGTTTTTCGTCGTCTGGGAACGTTTAGGCTTCAAACTGATTAGAGATGTCAAATGTATATGCAAGCATGTAACTTCTAGAGCAAGAAACAAGAAAACACGATCGTGTAAAGGGAAAAACACGATCTTGTTTTTGCCTAAAATCTCCTGAAATCCCGTTTAATGAAGTACGATGCTATTTCTGACATGCAACTCAAAAACATGATCGTGTTTTATGGAGAGACACGATCGTGTAAGTCCTTCGACATCTCGAAACTTGATTTCTGGCTTGGAAAAGTTGCGAAGGAGAAGCACGATCAAAATCATGATCGCATTGTGAAAAACACGATTGTGAAAACTCAAAAATGCACGTTTCGGACGCGAACTCTTCAGCTTCAGTAAATCTGACCCAACTTCCAGCTTCCTCATGTGTTTTAGCTCCATTAAGCTCCTATAGTTCATCCAAGCTGCTTTCAAATCCCTGCTCCACTCGAAATACCTGAAAAAGACATAAGAATGCGAGCAATACATGAATTCTGACAGTAAACATGAGTTGAACATTATTTAAACTAACGCAGACACAAATGCATAAAATACGATGCTAAATGTTAATAAAAACTACCCTAAAAGATGCATAAAATAGCATCTATCACCTATAAATAGGTTCATATCTCCATTCATTATTCTTTGCGAGTGCGTGTTTGTGTGTGTGCGCAATAATTTCAAGAGAACAATCATTGTGAGGTTGAACGCATATCATTTGGATCAGTTAGTAAGCAAGAGAGATTCTTTTGTTTTGAGAGCTCAAGTGAGGTGTTTTGTGTGTGATTGTAGTTGTTCTTAGAAGTTTAATAAAATACTCTCTCTCTCTCTCTCTCTCTCTCTCTCTCTCTCTCTCTCTCGTGGATGTAGGTCATCTTAATCGAACCACGTTAAATATTATGTTCAATTTTGATTTAAGTTTTTTCAAAAGTTTTATTCTGCAAGTTTCACCGAAGTTTGTTTGACAATTTTTTTTTGAAGTGCTTAACTTGTTTTGTTGTTATCCCAACAAACAAAAAATGGAACCTCATTGTTCTTCTATGTTGAGCATAGTTGGGCTAATAACGATCCTTACAAATGGTATTAGAGTTATGGCCATAGCTCGGATGATGTAGTCAACGTAGGTGGCAATCCCCAGTAATTCTCAGTCCAACAAAGTTGATCCTAAAACCTTTTATCAAAAGTCTTCCTGATGACCCAGGTCTGAGCGTGTCTCGAGAGTATTGACGGTCTGAAAAATGATTGGATCTTATGAACAATCGTTGAAGGGGGGCCAAGGGCAGAACTTGGGTTTGAGGGGAGGATTGTTGTGGTGCAAACTCAATCCCACGTCGGTAAAAGAGAAACTAGAAGCTAGCATATAAGGCAATAGGTAATCTCTTCTATCACCGATTGGTTTTAGAAAATAGAACTTCATTGTTCTTCTATGTTGAGCATGGTTGGGCTAATAGCGATCCTTACAGAAAAATGAGAGTCAAGTTGATTCGGATCCCACTACATGAGTGCTATCGGCAACAGTTACCAGCAAGGGTCTCAAGAACAAGACTTCATCCTTCATAAATTAGAATTCTCAATTCATTATTTAACCCAAAATACCAAGAGTTTGATTGTTTGAACTAAATTCAGACTTTTGTTGATTTTTCCTAAATATTTTCTTATTCTCTCTATAGATTTTTTTTTCTCATGTAATGTTTTTATGTTAAGAATTTGATAAATGAAATCTAGAATTTTGTAATTGATGTTTTAATGAACTTTGGATATGCCCCTTATTTGCACTAGTAACTGCTTTGTTACAGAAATATGAAACTTACTGTTATTTGTTAATGAAATCAGAGTGTGCCCTTAATTTTCTGATTTTGCTTTTCAGATTGACAAGTTGTGAATTTACTAAATTATGGCCAAAATGTACTAAATTACATAAGGCCGCCAAAATGTTATGGTGGGGCCTTGTCCACTGGATCAACATGGCTTGAGCCAGAAATTGTCAACCTGTTAAAAAATTAGTGATACTAGTTTAAGGCAGTGCATATTAAAAAATGAAAAAGAAAAAATTAACATAATATAATTAAACTGGTTAGAAGAATAGTGTCCATTTTGGCAGAAATGAGTTAGTGTTGATCCATATGACACATAATTATACTTGTCGTGTCCGGGTCACGTTTTCTAAGCCACAAACCAAACACGACACGAATGTCACCCTACATGGCTGCTTTTTTAAAGATAAAGCGGATGAATGGGTTTAAAGGTTGGGTGGGGCGGGAGTAAATTTTATTTATTTTCTTTTTTAATATATCAATAGGTATATCAATCTAGATTCATGCAAAATATATGTTCAAAGATAAAAGATAAACCTGAAGCAAACAATAATACTAGTAGTGGCAGCTACTATATTGATAAGCTTCAAATTAGTGGGAATTTTCTTTATATGTAACTCGCAAATAGGATATAGATTCAAGATAACAATATAGATTAATCAAAGGTTTTTCCCACATTCAAGAGGTGAGTTCTCAAGAGAACTTTACAAAATAACTCATACCCTCTATGAACCTAAGACAAAAGATTAAGCACCAAAGCATCAGCTAGCTGCCACTACAAAGAACTGTCCCCACTAAAACAAAAGTAAAACTAACTGAATTTTAATTAGTAAAAACTAACTTTTCTTCACTCCACCATTCCAGAAACAGTTAAGTCATGGGTTTCCTTCTTTCTCTCCTGCTGTAGACTAACAAGGTTTGGGGTTTATATATTCTTCTTCCTCTCCTTCTGTAGACTAGCAAGGTTTCGGGTTTATCATATATAAACATCTGCTCATCTGTATAACCCAAAACATGCATTTAAATTTAGTATTTTATACCTTAACAATTACTTCCAAAACATATTATACAAAAACAAAAGTGCCCAACAAATTAAACACAAATAGATCTCCACTTACTGCCAGTTTCATGAGACCCTTCTTGATTTCTTGATTCCGTTTTTATGGTGGTTATTGTAGCCCCGTGGCTGTTTCCTTCTTTAAGATCTGGTTTTAATTCACAGCCTCCACAAGAATCCACCTTCATCCTATGTGGCATCAACTCGCAACCTCCACCCACTGAATCCTTCATCAACTGCATTTTTCACATCATCATATCATATGTTTATATCCTTTTCTACAACAAACTTGCATTAACTATATCTACAATTAATATTTGTAATTTACCTTCCAATCAACGAACCCAAACTTAAACATAAATTGAGAATATGCCACTTTCCCAGAAGTTATCATACGAGCATAAGGAGCGTTTGTTGGTGCTGAATACAGAAATACTATAAGTTAGTAAGTTACAAAAGTAAAGGTAACAAAATAGTAATTTTATAGAATAGTTTATCAAGTGTGACATACAAACAAAATGAGAGCCTTTTTCATCTACTGTTATCAAAACTCTCCCATCTTTCACCAAGAATGACAAGGCAAACAAGTTCTCCACAGTTTGTGCAAATGAGATTCTGTTTAAAACAATGTTTCCAAGACAAACTTTTTTGTTGGTTTTAAGGATATCAAACATTGTTGCAACGATTTTCTCAGTGTCTGTCTTCTCTTTAGAGACTGTATCCTTAATCTGGACAATGGAAATAATATAAACAACACTTTCATATAAAGAAAACCACAATATTGACATTTTGATATACAACATACCTCTTTTGGTTTCACGTTCACCTTCTTTTCCTTCAGAGATGACCTTGAACGTTTTCGTTTTTTTGGTGGTTGGGTATCATGATTCATGTGTCCAAGCCTTCAAGGAGAATTGTAAATGCTTAAAAAAAAATCAATACTAGATTAGTAGGAATAGATCAAGTTAAAGAACTCACATGCTGCAGGGACCCTGGAAAGTCATGAACAGAGGAGAAGCATGCAAACCGATATCTTTCCAGAGAATCTGGTCACTTTCAGTGATTCTTCTTCTTTTCTTCTTCTTCCCAAATCGACTGATCAAACTTGAAACAAATAGTGATGGAGTTACACTTCCGATGTTATGCACCTTGATGGAAGTCACCAATGTGCTAGCTAGATCTCGTAGTGCTCCTGCATCTGATACTTGCTCTCTTGGTTTATTGACTACAAGAGCCGAAAAGGTATTAGAAAACTCATACATGTCATACATGATTGCATAGTATAGTGTTTAGCTTTTTTTTTTTTTGGAAATTTTGTATTAGAAACCAAATTGGTATAATCCAAAATAGCAAAAATCAATCACCACGTTTCTGCAGTCTGCAGATTCCTAGAAGATAATACAACTTTTATGTTTGATCGATTATGTATCTATAGCATTCGAGTATATAATAAATACACAATACCAAGCAAACCTTAAAGGTGACTAACTTGCAAGATAGGAGACGAAGATGCAGAACATAATACCGGTGATCTTGTAAACTTTAAGAACAACAACGTCATGATCACAAAATAGCATAGCAGTGAGTATTACCTAGATGATGCATTCCGTCGACTTCATCTATAATGGAGATGAATTCCTTCGAATTAGCAGCTGCTATCTCATCTCTTCTACCTGAAAATTTACATCCAGAACTAAGAGAGCATATGAATAAACGAAGCCAGCAGAAGATGTTATTTGTTAAAACTAGGTACACGTTCTTGTAAAATAAACAATGAAAAGTACCACGAATGTAACTCTGAATTGAAAGATATCCGGAACGAAGATCTCTACGCTGGGTATACTTTTGGTCGTTGGACTGACTAGCATTTGCATATTCCCTTTTAGGCCGCTTCTCCCGATCATCGTTTATCGGCATTGTTGGTTCTACTGACTGAGTAGCATCTGCATACTCCCTTTTAGGCCGTTTCTTCCGATCATCGTTTATCGGCATCGTTGGTTCTACTAACAGGCAGTTCTTTAGTTGGAATTCAGGGAAACCCTTAACCCTAGGATGGAGAGAGATTTCGAATCAAAAGTTCAAGATTTCAAAAGAAGCAGAGGAGTCGGCGTAGCCGGTACGATTTCCATTGCGATGACTTAGCTAGGGGTGTCAGTTCCCGCGTGTTATGTAAAAAATAAATAAATAAAATGAATCAAGTAATCTAAATTTTTTGTCCGTCTTGTTTGCTCCGTTATGCAGTTTTAGTTGAGACCTGACAAACGTGTCGTGTCGTGTCAGATTCGTGTCGAGTCAAGACATTAAACGGGTTGAAAGGACTTGACTCTAATCCGACCAGTTTAATTATCGTGTCGTGTCGTGTGAACCTGTTTATTTTTGTGTCGGGTTTTGGGTTAAGTTTTAAACCTTGTAAATATATTGTGTCATGTCGGGTTGAAATATTTTAAAGGCTAGAAAGTAGGAGTTGTGGAGGCAAAAAAGAAAAAGTGAAACAGTGGAGTTATGAGATGGAATGACAAAATTTATAGTAAGTTTAGAAGGAAAAATGAAAAGAGTTAAAGTTGGGGAGCAAAAGTGACAGGTGGTGAGGATGACTAAAATTAAGTAACTTTGAAATTTTGAATATTACTTCTAATTCTTGAGTTTGGCCCACTACAAGTCTATAACATATAATATATTTATAAAAATATGAAATTTATTATAAATAATATATAATTAAACGGGTCATATTCGAGTCATCTTCAAGTTGAAAGTCTTGACCCTAACCCTACCCGTTTAATTATCGTGTCGTGTCGTGCCAACCCGTTTACATAAACGTGTCGAAATCTCTGACCCTAACCCGCTAATTTCGTGTCGGGTCATGTTTTGTCAGGTCTACTTTTAGTCTAACTTTTGATTTTTTGACATTTCTTTGAAGTACATTTTTGGTCCACGAGGCAAACTCCGTTATATATTAGCCGTTAAGTTAGACTTAAAAGACCAATATGTAACGACCCAAAAATCAAGGGTAAAAATTTCATTTTTGATATAGCTAAAACATTGATACCATTTATTTTAAACATTTCAAATCATCGTTAAGTAAAACATTTATCAGAGTTCATCCCAAAATCATTCATTGCGAAAATCATGGGTGTGTGCACTGCGAATAATCTGAGCCCTTCTTTTCCAAATCGATGATACCTGAAACCAAAACTGTAAACCGTAAGCACAAAGCTTAGTGAGTCCCCCAGAGCATACCCCACACACAATCCACATAACACATATCATATTAGTTGTAAAAGCTATCTCTACCTCATAAGCCCTTCACATAATCATATAAGGAAGCCATGGAAACCCTCCAGGGTCTTACACCTAGTGCCACGGGAACCCCCACGTGGTCTTATCTGCCATGGGAACCCTCACATGGTCTTCCTGCCTTGGGAACCCCCACAAGGTCTTCCTGCCAAAGAAGACATAATGCAAACTATAGATACAAACATATGAGCTAAACATACAAACTTATAAGGATGCCCTGGAAACCCTCCAGGGTCTTACACTGGGTGCCACTCGAACCCCTACGTGGTCTTAGCCCACTGTCATGGGAACCCCCACATGGTCTTAGCTTGGAAAGCCATGGGAACCCCCACATGTTTTTATATTCGACTGCCTCGGGAACCCCCCGGGGTCTTCCATGCAAGTATCACAAAGACAACTAGCATACCAAATACCATACAATCAACTAGCATACTGCATATATATAATTATTTGCCATGGGAACCCCCACATGGTCTTCACATAAATACATAATGTATCAATAGCACATTCGCAGCAATCATCACAACTAAATAAATGGGCCAGCCTTGGTGCCTTAGACCCATTGGTATGGTGAGAAGACTCGCCTCGCACTGTAGAAGCTTCCCGCATGAATTCCTTAGCTGCTGCCCCGCCAGCTTCCCGAGTTGTCACTACCAATCAATATACCCAATTAGCAATTGGCTCCAATACCATAATCCTTAATCCATGCATGGGGTAAAATGACCATTCTACCCCTGGCCTAGTATGATCCACAACTAAAGCCCAAGCCCAAAACTAAACAAGCCCAAAACTCCAACACTCATAAAAGTCCACCAATGGCCCATTTTTCCAAATTGGGCTCAACCATAGCATGGGCCTTACCCTAAAGTCCAATAACTTATTCCCAATCAAAACATCCCTCCTTAACTGGTCAAACGACCCACAACTCGAATAATAGTCCAAACCCGAAATGGCCCATAAAGCCCAATAAGGCCCAATCCAAAAAGGTCTGAAATATCGAATGGTCAATCCTAGTCAACTCCTGGTCCGAGGTTAAGGTCACCGGTCAAGGTCAACAGTCCATGTTGACCTCAACTCGTCGAGTGCACCCAACAACTCGTCGAGTTTCTGAGTAATTCACTACTCGCCGAGTTACCTGTGTAACTCGCCGAGTCCCTCCTTGTCCACAACCGAAAACTCATGTCAACCGAAAACTCATGACAACCGAAACTCTTGACAACCGAAAACACTCTGGAGACCCGAAAACGGGTAAACCGTACTCGACTCGTCGAGTCAGCTAAGGGACTCGACGAGTTCCTTCAGCCTTCTTCAAGCTCAGCCCTTTTTAGTGGGATCTAGGGTCCCAAACTCCAGATCCAAGCTCTCCTAATGCATATACCACATAAAGTTGCAAACTTTACGTGCAAGCAAGGCATCCAAGTCGGAAAACACTTAATCAAAGCTTGTCAAAGGACTTGGAGCATGAATGAGGGCAAGGACTTGATAAAGTTAGCAGCTTTAAGTCCCCAAAGGCTCTAATATGTCCAGATCTGAAACCATAACTTCATAACATGCTCAAATCCCAAAATAGTCCCAAACTAGGCTAAGACTACAAGAAATGAGATCTACTAATCAACATGTCAAGGTTGTGACTTTATACCTCCAAGATGTAACCTTTGGTGTAGACTCTCTGGATCCAAGGTCACTCCTCCAAGCTTGGTACTTCTCTCTTCAAGACTTCCTTCAAGAATCACTCTCAAGCTCTCAAAATTCCATGAACAAGTGTCGAAAACGATCTAGGGTTTCTTCTGAACAGGGGAGGCTGGTAAGGAGGCCAGCCCTAGGAGTTAATGTTCTTATATAGGGTGAAAACCCTGAAGATTAGGGTTTTCTGTTCCAGCTCCTACTCGCCGAGTCGGGGCCTTCCGACTCGTCGAGTAGGTCCCGATCCCACGTCCATAAAAATGTCCCTACTCGACGAGTTGGACTCCCAACTCGCCGAGTCAATGCCCAATAGTCTAAAAATTAAATAAACTAAGTAATACCTGGAACAGGTGTTAGACAATATGACCCTCATTTGTCTTTTTCGTTATTTGATCAGTTTTCTAAACTACAATGACCAATTTAGTAAATAATCATCACCATCACCACTAGGGATGAAAGTGGGTCCAAACCCGGACCGGATGGACCCGGACCCGGAAAACCCGGAACCGGTTAACGGGATTTTGTAGAACCGGAAACCGGACCGGTATATAAGAACCGGTTCCGGTTCGGTTCCGGGTAAAGTGGGTCTAGAACCGAAAATTCCAGAAACATCAAAGTGGGTAGGTTGGAACCGAATAAAGTGGGTTTAGAACCGGAAAACCCGGAAAAACCGGAATTTTTTGGTAATTACTTACTACTTAGTGGGTTGAACTTTGAAAATTTTCATATTGATATCCCGACTTTGGGGGACTATAACTCATTGAATATGAAACCAAAATTAACAAAATTATAGTGTAAAATTATGTACAAACTCTAAAATACACTCTGGAAAAACCACCGCATGTTAATTCGACTTTAAACGAATGAGATATGCATGTGTTAACATTTTCACATAATACACGGTACAAAAACAAATAGCTGAAAATTTGAAAATCTTCAGTTTTGATATCCCGACTTCGCAGGACTGTAAATCATTGAATGTTAAACCAAAAATGACAAAATTATAGTCTAAACTCATGTACAAACTGTAAACTACAAGTTGGAAAAAATCACATGTCAATCCGACTTCAAACGAATTAGATATGCATGTTTTAAAACTTTCACCGAATACAAAAAAACTGAAAAACTAAAAATTTCCAGCTTTGATATTTCGACTTTTGGGGACTGTAAGTCAATGAATATAAAACTAAAAATAGCAAATTTATAGTCTAAAATCATGTACATACTCTAAACTACATGTTGGAAAAAACCGCATGTCAATCGGAGTTGAAACGAATGAGATACACATCTTTTAAACGTTTCACGAAAACCGGTTCTGGTCCTAAAAGTGGTTCCGGTTCCAAACACCGGTTCCGGTATTTAGACCCGGTTTACCCGGACCCGATGGACCCAAACCCGGAACCCGGATAAAGCCATTTTTTAAACCCGGAACCGAAACCGGTTCTATATATTCTGGTTCTAACGGTTCCGGTTCCGGTCCGATTCCGGTTCCGGTCCGGTTTTTCGGTTCTAAATCTCATCCCTAATCACCACCAACAACAACACTAATCACCACCATAACCATTGTCAACGATCACCATCCATCAAAAACCTAGTTGAGAGATAGTGGGAGGTAGAGGTGAGGGTGGAGCAGGCGGATGTCTTGGTCTGTCAGGAACCGACATAACAAGGTCACAAGGATGGCGGTGGACGCGGTGGTGGCTTGGTGGGTGTCTCCTTATGGCGACAGTGTCTTTTAGTGATAGCCTTAGTGACTTACGAGTAGCTAATGATGTGATCGAGGTAGAGAGAGGTGAAAGAATCAGGAGGTGGGTGTTAAATAAACGATAAGGGTATTTAGTTTGGGAGTTTATTTCATTTTTTTGATCATTTATAAAACCGGACCTTGTAGTTTAGAAAAATGATCAAATAACGAAAAGACAAATAAGGGGTATATTGGTCTTTTAACTCTAGCTTGAAGGGTAATATACAATGGAGTTACCCTCATTAACCACTCATACATTTTTTTGAAACCACGTGGATAAGCCATGTCAAAAATAAGAAGTTAGACTAAAAGTGAAGATTGCGGCAAACTACAAAGACCAAAACTGTAATTTAATCAAATGAATTTGATTTTTTTTCTTTCAAATTTATGTATTTTTTTACCAATAGTGTAGATTGCTAATTTAAACATGATATTTTTTTTTTATAAAAATGTTTATCAGTTTATATATTAATAAAATGTAGTTTAAATTTTGGTTGAGTTAGTCTTACAAAAATTGTTTGAGCTTTCTAATGTGATACCAAAACGTGAAAAAATAATAAGTTTATACAAACAAATCTTTCATTATAGATGTATATATATAAATTTAAAACTAAATGGATATGATAAGTGTATATATTATCTTTATAAAAAATATGAGAAATTAAATATCCTTTTACTTTTTTCTTCTTACACACTTAAGAATGTAACACTTATCATATTTAATAAAATTAATAAATTTTTATTACATCATCTAAAAATAATAGGAAAATAAATAGAAAGAATAAGTAGGAGAATATTTAATTTTTAGTTTAAATAGTAACCAGCCCTATTTTAAATACATTTGTAATAACTTAAAGAATTAATGTTAGAACAACGCTAAAAAAAAATTCTAGAGAAAAATGTCATTATAAATATTAATGACAATAGATAGAAATCAAATATATTTCAAAGAAATTATCGAAATAGAAAGGCCATAGGTTATCCACTCTCATTAAGTTTGGGACCTATTATTTCTCATCCTTCAAATCCCCAAAAAATATTATTAACTCGCTTGAAAGATTATTGACCATTACTAATTCATTTTCTCTTCCAATAAAAAAAAAACACTAAATCCAGTACAACCCACCATGCATATAAGAAGATATATTAGATTACAAGGATCGATCTACTTTCTAGTGAACAACAAAAGAAGAACTAAATCTAGCAGTTACCACCACTCTACTTACAAATGTCAGATACGGAGATCAAATACTTCCATGCACAGTTACAGTTATGGCGTTTTCTTGACATGTTTCCTTGTAAGTTGCTTGCCTTTGCAGTTGTCAGAACTGATACCGCTGTTCCCTATCTGCTTAATCACATTACATCAAAAACATGAAACAAAACACCAAAAGTTTTTAATTCAAGACTACAGTTACATTTGTAAAATAAATAAAGAGTGTGTTTATATATCTGCAATAAGTTATTACCACTTTCAAAGTCTGAGATGCTTTCAAGCTTTGCAATGGCATCAACGAGGGCTTGTTCATGCTCCTAAAACAACCAACAATTTAGTGTAATTAAAAGAAATAAATCCTGTGTGCACAAATAAAATTAAAAAAAAAAAAGCATCCTTACTTTAAGCAACTTTCTGGCATTTTCAATATCCATCGGATCAGCATTGCTTGAGCTAAAAACCCTGTCAACCTGTTAAAAAGTTAGTGGATATGAGTTTTTAGAAGATTTGAGGGGGGGGGGGGGGGGGGGGGGGGGGGGGGGGGGGGGGGGATCAGTGGAAGTATTTGAATATCACTCAAAGCCTTCTTTGCAATGCCATTTTGTGATGGAGGTAACTCTTTCTTGGATTGACCTTTCATGATTCCATTCCGTCTTTCAGGACCATCAGTCATTCCATTTCCACCACGTGCCATGGACTTCTTCCTCCCGTGACCCAATCTGCTTCCGCCACCTGTACGAGAAATCCCAACATCTTCTTGTTTCCAGCTAATATCATTCGCAGATATCTACCAATGGAAGAAGTCAGGAATTCATTGTTTTAGTGAAAATCAAAATCACTATTAACATCCCATGAAGATGGAACTCAATCCTTACCTCTCTAAGATTAACCCATTCCCAAGCTTCATTTGGTGTACCCGCATCATACACCAGAGCATGATTCCCCTGTATGTAAATAATTAAAATTAATCTCATACATTCACTAGTAGATAAAATAATTCATACCTCAATGGGATTGAAGTCACTTATAACAGCCTCATAGAAGCTATTGTCTTCAGGCCAACGTGTCCAGACTTTCCTCCCAATCAGAGGATCAGAGCTATTTTCAAGACCCTGTTGTGTAGGAGCTTCACCCCTGCCATTGAAACCATACTGCATAAAAAATATGGTTTTGTTAAAGCAAATAAGTTATTGGTTTGCTTTAAAAGTCAAAAGTTAAAACTCATCAACTTACTGATAAAGATGGTTTCTGTTTCTTATACGATGCAGAAGCAGTAGGGCAATTGGGCATTCCAGGTTGAAGCACATTCACTTTCCTCCATTCCCTGTAGATGACAAAAAGTAATCCAATTTATGAAACTAAATGAAGTTATTTATTAATACATTATGAGTAAATAAATACCTTATCCTCCCAATCAAATCATCAGAGTTAACTCTAGACAGAAGCTTTCTGTGTTCATCATCTGTCACTCTCAATTCTTTCCTGAGTTCTGTTATTAAACTTTCCATCTCCTATAGAATGATACAATATAAAAGCCTTAAAGTCAGCAAAAAGAAATATGAATATGTGAAGGAAAGTAATCACAAGGCTTGCTTACCCATGAAATAGCATCAGACTGAGCTTTAAAGGCACGAAGGACTGAACAATATGCTTCTTGCTCTATCTGGTGGATCTGTACTTCCATGTCGTTTTGCATTTGGAGGAATGGAGTGCTATTAACAATTGCAGTTCTTGTGTTCTCAATAACTGGCCTCTGAGTTCTGAATTTGTTCTGATGTGAAGGAGGGAGGTTATCATCTGTTCCTGCAGTTATGATAAAAAGAACTTTATCTTTTATAAAGATTGTGATTCAAAGGAGAAGTAATAAAAGCTAATTTGCCAAAATCAAACCAAAGTGTATCATTTCCCAGAAACTATAAAGGTAATTTGAGTCTGATCGTGTTGATGATTATAGTAGCTCATCTATGATGACTAACATGGTGCTAGTTACTTTACATCTCATGATCCCACAAGCCTTTAAACTATCCAAGAAACCCCTCATGAGAAAAGACCAAATGAAACGCTTTTCAAGCCCTAGGGTTTTCTAACACATGTAGAACAAGTGTGAGATACCAAGAAAGAAATATGTCCATCTTTGAAAATAAAATTAACTCAACAAGTCTAAACTTCCATACTTCTAAATCGCGAATGCGAATCATACTTTGCGATTCGAGACTTTACACAGATAAATCACAAGATATACCAATTTAAGGGGAAATGTTTATCAGGTCATCGCATAACATTTTAAAAGGAGGAAACGGATTTTGCTCTTAGATGAAAATGTATATAATAGCATAATTTGGCGTATGCTTGTATGTGTAATGTACATGAACGATCTACAGAAATAGGACTCACCGCTGCTATCTGAACGCTCGAAGTCCATGGTAGACCGAAAATCTCATGAAGTAATTGGCGCACAGAAGATGACACGATTCTATGAATCGTACCATAAGAAGACACATAAACAGTAAGTGGGCGTTACATAGGGTTGCTAAAACAAAACTCTGGAGTGTATGTTCAAGAAGTTTATCATACCTTTGGTCCGACGATGAAAATGACGAAATGAATGGTATGAAACTATGAATGGGAGAAGAAGAAAAAAAAAAGAGCGAGTATGGAGGATAACGATGGCAGGTACGGTGGATAGCAGTGTCAGTGACCGGCGGTTCTTCGGAGGAGAGAGACCCTTGGGACCTGCGACTACGAGAGTGAGAGGTGTGGGAAGAGGCGGAGGCAACCGAACGTTGTCGTTTTGCAATTGGGTGTGGGGGAGGAGGGGGTGCCTTTTGACCCTATAATTTTTAAGACGACTATTTATGGTTGCCGTTTTTCCGATGAGGCGACCTAATAATGCCGGTATAACGGGAGGAACACCGTTTCCGGTCCCCATTTTTTAGAGTTACGTTACTGCTCGTTATTGTAGCAACGGGAGGAAACGCTAAGGGGGTGTTTGGTCAGGGAAAAAATAAGCTGTTTATTGCTTAATCCCACCGTAATAAGCAAATTTAAGTGTTTGGATAAGAGTCTTTAAAAATCAGCTTATTGCGGTAGGAATAAGCCAAATAAGCTGATTTTAATAAGGAAGGAGTGGAATGCTTATTGCTTATTGCTTATTGCTTATTGATCATTTTACTTATATAAGCTGTTTTGTTTGTCAAACACTTAAATATTTATTGCTTATTGTTTATGCTCACCGCAATAAGCTAATCCAAACACATTTTAAACAAGTGCTTATTCCCACCACAATAAGCAAATAAGCTAAAAACTTTTTATCCAAACACCCCCTAAATTTTTCGGTAACGGTCAAAAAAAGATCCGTTGAAAAACAGTCGGAAAAAAACATTTTTTTTTCAATTTTTACTCACCATATATATACATTTTCACTTCATTATTTTACATATCTTCATTTCTCACTTCATTAATTACATACAACACAATATGGATCAAAACCCCAACACTTCTCCTCCAAACACAAACACATCACCTCCTCTCGGTTTTGCACAATATGAGGTGTACACAAACATCCTCAACTCCCAAAGCACAACACAACTTCCATTTTCCGGCAACTTTTTCAATCTCATCTCACCCCACCACATTTCCCTACAACAAAGGGAAAGCGTTCGCGGTGGAGCAATCGGAAGAAAAACCTTCAACATGGTGGATTGCGGAGGAAGAATAGGTATTGGTGGTGTCATGGTGCGGGACATCAAAAAACCCAACTCAGGGAAACGATATGAGAAAAGTCGTTTTTTGGGAAGTCGTGATCGGCAAATTTCGGACTATTTTGAAAAATGATGAAAACTATCGCAATCACAATATGTTGAGTAGCAAGTTGATTCAAATAAACAGGAAATGCACCAAGTTCAATTCCATCTACAACAAATTTTTCTCGCACAAGCAAAGTGGTGCGACCGATTCTGATGTTTTTAGATAGGCGAGAGACCAATATCATGTCGAGACGAGTCACATTTTCGAGCACGAAAAGATTTGGGAGTTTGTTAAGGAAACCCCAAAATGGAATAAAACAGACACATTTTCGAAACAACAATCCAAGAGGTCTCCCGGCTCGGGTTTGATCGACTTTTCGGACGCACACACGAACATCGACCTCAAGGCGGACACGGATGAGCTATCGGGCGACCTCAACGACATTGAAGAAATCTCCCTGCCTCAACAATCGATAGGGCGCGACAAAGCGAGGCGGGCTCAACGACATGCGGAGGAAAGCGAAAGTAGACTTCGAGAGCAAGCGGAAATGAAACAGAAATTTGACACATGCAACAAAATCACACTTAAAATATATGAGTTGCAACGTGCGCATTTGGAGTTCCTTCGTCAATAAGCCGATGAAGATCGCATGACGAAGGGTTTGGTAATTCTTCAAACTACCGAGGATAATATGCCACCGAGATGGGCGGGAGTACTCCGAAAAATGAATGTGAAGATCGAGCGGAAATATTTAGGCGAAGAATTGTGTATCGGTTTTATGTTTTTAAAATTATTAGGAATATCGTATGTTTTTTGTCAATGTTTTTTTTTCTTTCTTTGTAATGTCCTTTTTTTAAATGGTATGTTTAATTAAGTATTTAATTTAATTATGTTTTATTAATTTGTATGTTTTTTTTTAATATTATGACATAAATTAAAAAAATAAAACAAATTAGAAAAATAGAAATTAAAAACATTAAAAACAAATTTGTAGGTGTTATCTTATGTTATTTGGTGTTGCTCATTTTCACATTGGGTGTTATAACACCAAAAGTGTGACTAGGATGATGATGTGTACATTTTAGGTGTGATAATATGTAATAACATGTTGCACACGCCCAATAGCCTAAAATCCTCAGAAAAAAAACTACGGTTTCACAAATGGGGAAGTAAAAGTATTGTTTTGCAAACGACATTGTGCAATTATTGATTGTGGCCTCCAAGAATTAAATATGGATCTCCGGAGAAGTTGTGATGTTTGTTTTTTTCGAAGGGAAAACACCTGAAATTTGTGGATCACATCTGAACCCTCTACAGCTGAACAGGTAGACCAAACGGTTGAAGTCTATAATAAGAAGCATGTTTGCTTTCTAACGTCTGTAGGTTGCTGCAAAAAACTGAAATTAACCATACACTAGTTAAAAATAATTTTAAATCAAAATTTTATTAAGTTTAATCATATGAAAACCAAATATAAAGATCATTGTGATGATATGATTTTTAGATACGTTTATATAAAATAATTAAACATAATATCTGCTAAACAACAATAAATATAATTGTTACTTTAGCGACAATATGTTCATTTTATTAAATTTTCGAAGACGGTGATTATTTTTGTGATTAGCTTCAATAAATTTTGTAGTTTTAGTGATAAACTTTATACTTTATTAATATTTGGTTATACACAATGTAACATAAAAAAAATATTTATATAAAATTTAATGAATGGTTTTGAAATTATGTAAAATATACTCGGATTGTTTATAATATAATTTATAATATTATTAAATAATAAACATGTTGTTGGGAAATATTAAAATAAATCTATGTTGAATAATATAATTTAAAGTAAGGTGGAAAGTGGTTTAAATAGAAGAGTCCAAATCTGCTCCATGCAGTACACACGCAACAATTTTTAAGTCAGAATTATTCTAAAAAACAAACAACTACAAAAGGTTAAGTGTTGCGCAACGCAGTCAAAAGTGGCCAGCAATGTTTTTTCTTAAAAAACAAACAACCCCTAAGTGTTACTAAACAAATGATGATTACACGGTATATTGAGAGTTGTAAATCAACTTTAATAACTATGGTTCGTTGAATTGACTAGCGTCTTTACTGAGCCCCATGCTTAGTAGGATTGAGCATACGACGTTTTAAGTCAACTTTGGGGTAAAATCAAACCCAAACAAATAAGTTCACTTTTTGGGTTGAAACTCATTGGGTTCGATTTTTGGTTTCATGGTTTGATTTTTTCGAGTTCCCATGGGTTTGGGGTTTTAAATCGTGTGTTTTGGGTTTTAACCTATTTTCTTGCAATTCTAAATGAAACGAAACAAATTCAACCAAGCAAAAACACTAAAACCAACCAATTAGTTTAAAAAACTAAGAAAAATTAAAAGTTAAAACAACGTTCAACACCAACTTTATTTTCTTCAACATCAACAACTTGTGAAAATTGGATTAGGCTGCTTACTTATATTTTCAACATTATTTCCCGTCTATAGTGAGAAAAACATTTTTAGCTTTCAACAAACTCATATTAAACAACCTTAAACACTTGGTTAAACCAAATGAAGCAAACATAACATATGTCATATGATAAGCAAGTAGCAGATTTCAGTATTTCAATAATAGAATATATTTCAAGTATTTACTTACATTATGATTTAGCTATGGTACATCACACAGACGAACGATAAATTCATATATAGATATAACCATATCCTTTAACATAAGCTCAAAAATGCAAATGGAGAAATAAGAACAAACTATGTGTACATAACTACAACAATAATTAAAATTTTCAAATGTGAGAAACTAAATAAAGTTTTGTACTATATAGATAATGGACACTGAAACATTAACATAAAACCAACTATTTCAAAAAGCTACTATAAGTTATAAGTCAATTGCAGGTCTCAATAAAAGGTCTCAATAAAAAGTTCTCAACACAACCAATCCATGAAAATAAAAGAATTATTCAAGTTTTCATGCAATTGAAAAAGAAAAAGCAAATTTAGTCCACACTTTACTATGTTACATAAGCTACACCAGTAAACAACCACAATATGTTAAGTGAAAATTAAACCCTAATGTTAGGACCAGGATCCTCAAAGCATTCAGGATCCTCAAACCTCATCACATATTCAGGATTCTCAACTACTCAGGATCCCGACTATTACCGTTATTATTATTTACTAACATTTATAACAGTTATATTTCGTTCTTAATTAACACATGTGCAGAAATAGTCATGAGAATACTTATTTTTAACAGAGAGTCGTCTCAACTATGCTAAAGACCCAGAATACCAAGTCAAACAACGTTCACAAAGCTGGTCATAGAGGATCCCGGGAATATCGGACATCTTGTTAGCTAGTTTAGACTATAAATTGACACATGTATATCGCACACGACACACTCTACCTACTATTAGCTTACTCTACGAACCTTTTCATTTGTTCTTACTGAAATACACTTTGTAATCATCATTTTATATTAATAAAATCATCAAGACAGGTGATCATTATCATCTCCCAAGGTTTTGTGCCGGAGATCCTAGCAAGGATCAAGGGCTTTCTTTGTAAACAATCGTGTCATTCTCTTTACCTTTCTCCATTGCACAATTTGAACATCACATGCTCTCATTCAATTTGGTTGATCTATACTTGTGTAATTTTTTACCAAAACAATGTGGCGCCCACCGTGGGGTCGTGGTGTTCAAAATCCTCGAAAGATCATGTCTACACAACCGATCATTTCTTCATCCTCCGCTCCTTCCATTCCAACCAAAACCCTACCACCTCCTCGGAGTGGACCCCCTGGTCAGAGGAAAGCGCCTGATACTTCCAAGAGAAACACCCTTTCGGTCACTAATCAAGGAAGTTTGGGATCTTCAGGACTCCAGGATCCGACTGCTCCGGTCACTACTGTTGAACTCTTCGCTATGATGAGGAAAATGATGCAACATATGACTCAACAACAAGACGACGATAGAACACTACTTAGAGAAGTGGAGAGGATGAAGGCGGAATTTCAGAGATCCTAGGAAACGATGTCCGCAGTTGTACAACCAAGGATCCTGAACTTCGACAATGCAGGATCCTGAGGAAATCAACAGGGGAACACAACTCCTACTACTGTTGCATCACCATGAGGGACGACTATGAACAAGCATCT